TGGTCAAACCCAGAGGGGGGGGGGGGGAGGGGGAAACCCGCCACTCAGGGAATTTGATGGATTTTGCTCGAAACAGATTAGAATTGGGAAAAAAAATTAATGTACATATCACATTGTAATGTAGCTGTAGCAGAAACACGAATGCACATCGTACCACCAACGTACAGAGCACATAATGGTATTAAAATGTAGCTATACCAGAAACACACATTATGTAAATAATTATCAAAGGCTATCATGTCATTCTTAAACACAAGTTCGGTGAATTTAAACACACTTTGGGTGTTTTCAAACACATTTCGGTAAATGTGCTTGCACGTTATTTCCACACACATTTCGCTACGGTCCTAACCTGCTGAGTTTCCCCCCACAATGGTTTCAGAGAATACAAGCCTGGGTTACTCATGATACGGTGGGCCGAAAGAAACAAAGACTGCTGAATGCTTGTAAGCCCGTGTCACCCCGATCAGCCGTTAAGCCAATATTCAGTTGCCTGTCAACCAAAGCTAGAAGATGCTGAGATTTCCGATAACTCCATGCGTCTAGACTTCAAGACATTTCCGTGAACGAGTAGAGATTTTGTGACGTAATGTACACGAGACCTGAGATTCAAAAGAATTACCTCTTTGTCGAATGTTCCTATAAATTTTATACAAATATTTAGACCTAAACCTATACCTGCTGCTATAACTATAAAATAGGTCACTATTGTTTTTCCCAAACATTAAAAAAAAAACAGCAACAAAACCCAGTATTTTTCCGGTAAAAACAAGAAGAATTGTCTCCTTACGATACTTATAACGATACATTTAGCAATAAGAATCCCGATTACGATACATACACTATTTCTATATCTCTAAAAGTGTAAGTCGGCAGAAGTTTTTACAAATATTTTTTTTTTTTTTTAAAGCGCTCTACAAAAGTAAGACTAACTTTTAAGTAAGACAAAGACAGACTTTTCTGGGCCCATCGGTTTAGTTGAGTAGGGCTTAAGACACGGGTGCCAAGCCTATATTGTACAGAGTGACGCATGGAAATTATGGTTTTGCTTGAGGGCATCATTTCCTTGGCAATCGTTAGTACGAGAAGTATCTAGAAAATAAGTAAAAGCTAAGTTGGACCACATCGATTGGATCAATGTTTTAAGTTAGCCATGATTATGATTAATAGAGTTTGAGAATTTTACACTTTGATTATTAGTTTCCATAGATTTTTTTTTTGTACAGGCAGTCATTCTCAATGTGTACATTTTACGAAAACAATAATCCAGTTCCCGGGAGGTTCGTCTTGCTGGCCCCTTTAGACGTTTCAGCGGGCCGCATGGGGTAAGGGCCGCAGTATGCCCACCCTGGGCTTTAATCTAATAATTAACATATTCACAATTTCTGATCAATGTTTTGTCGATTGGTCCTTTGGTCTTTCTTCCAATGGTAACATGCCCCCTTCACTTCTAAGCAGTCAATTTCAATTATAAACTGTCGATTTAATTTCCTCATATCAATCAGAAAATCACGTTCAGTGGGGGTTATTTATCTTGTTCAATTTAACTGTGCATTTCCAACTTAACCATCTAAAACTAATATTATTATCTGCATCACCTGCAGTCTACAGTAACAAAAAAAAAAAGAAAAATTAAAACAAAAAATCCATTATCATATTGCATATGAGAGCTTTCGGGGTAATTTAGGGGTACATTAGGGGTAGTTACTCTTATTGCTTCTCTTGAAATTTAATAGGAAGGATGCTAGGATAATTTCCCATTTGATTTTCGAGACAAATGTATACAGCAATATGAGCACACATACAATCTCTTGCTTTCTATTAAGTTCTTATGACATATTTTCATCCCATGATATATCTCATGATTTAGATAGCAGGGATCGACCGTCTCATTGCTGGGTTCACCTCATGGCTATCTCTCATGATTTAATTCATGTTTATAGTTATGCATTACATATATCATGTTTATTTTTAATTTCACGGTTTACTTTCATGTTAATATCTCATGTTCAAATCTCAAGCTCATATCACATGTTTTAGCGCACGGTTGTGTATCATCTTAACACGTATGTTAATTTCTCATGGTTTTATCTCAGGGAAACAGTGTTTTCATCTTGATTCATGTCGACCATTTATTAACATATATAATTATATTTATTTTTTTTTAAAAAAGGAAGTTCATCTCAATGTTTGCGCAGTTGCTCAGAACTCACGGCTGCAGCTCAATAATTCACAATTTGAACAAGAAAATTCAACAGCTTTTTTTAAAAAATAAACACGACCCATGATTTTTGCGTAAGATCATTGTTCCACACTTTTACCAGTATCGATATTTACAATAACCGAAACATTGTTACCTTCGATATTTCACGAAATTCGAGTAAGATCATTTGTACCGGTATCGATATTGAAATGATCGTCAGTCTCATTGTCATCGATGCCCCCGTCGATATTTGCCGAAAAGAATTTTTTGGAAAGCACTTCGGAACTCGGGGCTGAAGATGGTGTAGATGATGGGATTCAGGAGACTGTTGAAGTAGCCGAGCCACAGGACAAAACTGCGCGCGAAAGGCGGGATCCCTTCCGGGTCCACAAACGGCCCAATGAGCGCAATGATGAAGAACGGCAGCCAGCAGATGAGAAAAGCGCCCGTTATAATGGCAAGGGTGCGCGCCGCTTTGCGCTCTCGCTTAAGCTCAAGTTTCTCCCGCGTCCGCGAGTAGGGCGTATCGTTCGAGCTGATCTTCTTGCCGTTGTTACACTGTCTCTCCAGCATGGCGATGCTGGCCTCCTCGGCGCAGCCGTTGGCGAACGCCTCCGCCGTCTCGATCTGAATCTGCTTCAGCCGCTCAGAGCTCGAGCTGTTGCTGTTGACGCCGTTGGCGTTCTCCGGAAGCTTCTTCGCTCTGTTTTTCTTCCGCTCCGGCCTGGGGGAGCAGCCGTAGCTCTTGAACGGCGCACGCCTCTTCTTCTTCTCCGTCGTGGAGTCCGGCGAGTTGCAGCCGTTGCAGTCGCTGACCACGCTGTATTCTGTCTTTGGCGAGGCGACGAGCGTGGTCTCCTCGGTCTTGAGGCGAGCTTTGGTCATCTGGAACTTGTCTTTTCGGATGCGCGACCTCGCCACGAGCCATATCCGGATGTAGATGATCATCATGACGAGCATGGGCAGGTAGAAGGCGCCCACTGTCGAGAATATCGTGTAGCCCTTGTCCTGGGATATGATGCAAGTTCCGGTTTTGTCGGGGTCGTTGTTGGGGTCGCGCCAACCGAACAACGGCGGGATGGAGATGAAAAGAGCGACGATCCACACGACCATGATCATGAGCAGGATTCGTCGGGCGCTGCGGCGACGGATGTAGTCGATGGACGTCACGGCCCAGTAGCGGTCCATGGCGATGGCCACCAGGTGGAGGATTGAAGCCGTGCAGCAGAGGACGTCCACGGATATCCACATGTCACACACCTCCGAGTGCAGGAACCATACCTGGATAATGAGAAACAAAGGTTGAGTCAAAGACAGGTTTGAAACATTTTGGAGTTATGTTGTTGTATTCAGTGACGCATGAAAAGGGTTACGGGGGGGGGGCGGTCCACCCCAGATTGCACCTTTTTTCGAGGGGCAGCCTTTTCGGCCAACTGCAATAGTTTTTTTTTTTCGTGGACTGGGGCGGCAAAATTCATTCTCGTTCTGCCCCGGGCTGCACTAACCCTAGCTACGCCACTAGATGCGATGTGGTGGATTACCTAAAAAGTAACACTTAGTGTTAAATAATAAGATGAAACACAACCAAAAGTCACAGAGACATGATTTTGAAATCAATCAATATAATTATTTATGTATGTAAGAAAGTGTTATACAATGGGTAGGTCAACAGCGCGCTAAAAAAAAAATTCCCGATAACCGTGCAAATTGAGATCATGAAATACATGAAGTGCGCTCGGTGCGTAATTTTATTTTTTAAAAAAATGGAAATAGTCTCAATTTCAATATGATGTAACAAATCTGCGTTGTAAAAGTGGTGGGACATTAGATCTTAATATAGTTCAGGGGGTGTGAGAAATACAGTGTGCGGTTTCTTACACCGGTAAGGGAGAGGGGAGGTTAGCACTAACTGGGATTCTTCTAAATTACTTTTCTTGACTGCATGTTTCGCCAAGTAACTTAGGTAGACGGGGGGAGTTCACGCTTTGGCGTCACAGTTGTTTGGCGGGCTAGAACTAGCAAAGAAATGAAACACACCAGATCGTCACAAAGACATGATTGCACAAGAATTTAACGAAACACAAATGTTACATTCTTTTGTGACGCGGTATCAAGGTCCAAGGGCTTCATACATGATCAGTTTATAACGATTTTCATTTCATCTTTGTTGAAACATTATGTATATTTTTTTATTTTTTTTGACACCACATTAACTTGTCCCTAAATTTTCAAGACACCATATATATATAAGAAAGAGCTAGGCTGACCGTAACGCTAAAGAACCAGAAACATTAAGATACGTTTGGATTCTTTTAATCATAGTTATTTTCTATTAATTTACGGAAATCGAATACATTTAAAAAATGCGCAAACAACTATTATGTATCCCCTTTTATTTTAGTAAAAATTTTAAGTATTATTATTATAAATTACAAATACATTTAAAGTAACAACTATGGAACTATTTGAAACATTTTATCCGCGTGTAAGAGTTATGAAAAAAAATATGACCAAAAAAAACTATGATCTCAGAATTGCACGGTGATCACCTTTATCGGGAAAACCCAAACATCTGTTATTTTTTAGTGAATTTTCAGTGCGTTGTTAATATTGCGAATTAGTAATAGAATTTATTTGATTTTAATAATACTCAAATGACGTCATAGCGTGAATTGTCTATTTTAGCCATAGCTCTAAGTTTCTTTGATTTAATAACAGTGCGTAACAAAAACTGACGATGTATCTCCCCTTTCTTAAAAGTAAAACTAGTAAAAACAATTGATTGCTTTTTTAAATTGCTAAGATTAAATAAAACTTTAGCTTTGAATTTTAAACATTTAATAAGTTTTTATTTTTTATGCAATCCAAAAAATATACTTTTATGACATTTACTAAGTACTAAAGACCGTTTTCTTGAAATATACTTTAATAAGGAAATGCCGTTTAATTCAATCATTGCAGCGAAACTCCATAGCCTAATAGCATTCTCTGATGTACTTGTTACTCATGCAAATAAGAACAAAGCATATGAAATATAAAAATGTGTTTACATTTTTACGTGCATGACAATAATAAGTATCTTTAAATCCAATCACAATACAGTTGTGAAGAATAGATGCTTTATGCTCATTTTACCAATTAAGAAAATCAGTGACGTTAACATGAAGTTTACGCAATGGGAGTCGCTTAGTCAATTATTTTGTCACGTGATATGAGTAAAAACGAGTAAGATTTCCGGTATACTGTATACAACACACTAGTGCTTGACAACAGCAGCCCGATACACACTACAACTACACTACATTTCGTCCAATGAAAATTAACAATAAAATAAACAAAGGGGAATGACTCCTGCATCAATATTGAATAACAACGCAAATGACGTCATGAGCACGCACGGAGCTCAACAACATCCTGCCGATAATAGTATTGATAGTTCACATCGAATATCGCTCACAAATTTTTCTTGAAATAACTTTCTTCCTTTAATTATAACTGACGTATATTTATTGTCACATTTATGTATTTCATTTAAAAAAACGCTTGCATTCCATAATATTACGAAAGGTAAAATTTTTAATTAACATAACATTGGGGAAGCACTGATGAAGTATCTTTTGTTGTGTGTTGCAGCCTAGTGATGACTTACTCATATCACGTGTGTAAAATTTTTAATTAACATAACATTGGGGAAGCACTGATGAAGTATCTTTTGTTGTGTGTTGCAGCCTAGTGATGACTTACTCATATCACGTGACCAAACAAGGAAGTGACTAAGCGACTCCCATTAGATCCGTAAATATCAAAACCCAATCATTTTATGCAAGTGAAGATTTAATTTTCTTATTAGAGATGGGTTAAGATGTTCTTAGATAGATAGATAAATAGATGATAAATAGATAGAGAGACAGACAGGCAGACACACTGATATATTAGATATATGATAGATAGATTATATATATATATATATATATTTATATATATATATATATATAGATGGATGGATGGATGGATGGATGGACGGACGGATGGATGGATGGATGGATGGATGGATGGATGGATGGATGGATGGATGGATGGATGGATAGATAGATGATAGATGATTGGATGGATGGATGGATGGATGGATGGAATGATGGATGGATGGATATATGGAGAGATGGATAGATGGATTGTTGGATAGATGGATTGATTGATTGATGGATTGATGGATTGATGGATAGATGGATTGATGGATAGATGGATGGATGGACAGAAAGACAGACAGACGGACACGTTGCATCCTTGAATAGTTGCGCAAAGTTATCTTTTATTCGATAAACTCTATCTATACATCTATATATTAAAATAATGTATGTATGTATGTCCCGCATGCGCTCCTATAGAATTCATCCAATAGAGATACAATTTTTGTAAGTTGCTGTACACACGCCCGCAAATGTTTCTGAATTATTACACGCATTTTACAATGATCCGTTTTGGGCTCGGGGCCCCAAATTCTTTTCCCCTTTTTTAATGAGCTAAATATAATTTCCGTATGTGCTCCTAGACCATTCATCCGAGTGCGATAAAACTTTGGTCAGTTGCTGTGCGCACGACCGCAAAGGATTCTGAATGAGGTCATCCATTTTGAAATATTCCTTTTTGGGGGCCGCGGGCCCTAAATTAGTTTTTTTGTAGCAAGGGCTATACAAATCTTCAGAGCTATTGCATGGGTGGATGGAATTGAATCAAATACAAGCGACTTTTCAGGTTTTTTTTCTGTGACACACTAAGTAGGTTTCTGAATGAGTTCAACCATTTCACAACTATGCGTTTGGGGCCGGGGGCCTTATTTTTAAAAAAGAAAATTTTTTATGTGAGTTATATGAAAATAATTTCAAACAGAGGTACTGCCTGGGTGGATCGATCGCTACAAGTGTGTAAGCTAAATTTTAAAAATCCATGCTTCTCACGTGGACAGCTGTATGTTGCCTTCTCACGTGGACAACTGTATGTTGCCTTCTCACGTGGACAGCTGTATGTTGCCTTCTCACGTGGACAGCTGTATGTTGCCTGCTCACATGGACAGCTGTATGTTGCCTGCTCACATGGACAGCTGTATGTTGCCTGCTCACATGGACAGCTGTATGTTGCCTGCTCACATGGACAGCTGTATGTTGCCTGCTCACATGGACAGCTTATTTTTTTGTAAGAAATTTCTTTAAAAAAGGTAATTAGAAAACAAAACCTCTTTTTTTTTTTTTTTTTTTACTTTGAGGGGCATTGCAACGCATGCCGGGTACTCGCTAGTTCAGTTAGATTAGTGCAACACACCCTCCAGTTAGACTTTACAAGACACCGTTCAGTTAAGACTCTACAAAACAGTATTCAGTTAGATTGTACAAGGCACCATTCAGTTAGATTGTACAACAACCGGTTGGGACAAAAAAGAAACTTCATTTTTCGGGGATAATCAAATCATCCTGCTGCGTGACATTCCTTTCTGCTGCATGTGTAAACACGGGCTGCTGGCGCCTACTGGCGTGGATTACAAGACAATCAAAACAAAGGTATCATTGGATAGCCTGAAAAGCTCTAGGTCAAGGAGCGTGTGTTCAAAACGAGGCTATGATATTGTGATGCCAGTTAAAGCAACATTTCGTCGTTTCCCAAAACGGACAATGTTTATATTTTTTTGTCAAAGAGAGTCGTCTGCGCTTGGTAAACACAGTCTTTGGCATCGTTATCTTTTCCTATTTGTGAACTCACTCGTTTTCTTTCTGCCGTCTTAGATCCAGAAGCGTCATTTCAGGGGGTTTTTTTTCAAGGGGGGTGGGGAAAGGCCAAAACCAAAACTTGGTCGGTTGGTTAAGTTGTTTATTACTGGAGGCGCCGAGGTACATAGCATTTTAAATAAAACCTGAAAATTCAAACCTGCTTGGCTGGGGGGACACAGAGAACACTGAAATAACAAATATACATGCTTGGCAGGGGGGTCACAGAGAACCCTGAGACAGTAAATATACATGCTTGGCAGGGGGGGTCACAGAGAACCCTGAGACAGTAAATATACATGCTTGGCAGGGGGGGTCACAGAGAACAATGAGTCAGTAAATAAACCTGTTTGGCAAGGGGGGGGGGAGGTCACAGACAACACGGAGACAGTAAATCAACCTGCTGGGCTGGTACATAGCATTTTAAATAAAACCTGAAAATTCAAACCTGCTTGGCTGGGGGGACACAGAGAACACTGAAATAACAAATATACATGCTTGGCAGGGGGGTCACAGAGAACACTGAGACAGTAA